TTCTGGAGACATCAGCAGACACAGTTTGTTTGGACGAGATAAAAGCTATCATCAAGCAGGCGGCTATGATGACGAGAGGAGGAACGAGCATTCAGCCCCGGCTTGAAGAAATGAGGATCCCGAAGTCAAAGCTCGATGCTCGCGAGGTGCAAGAGATGGATAAAACAGAAAACTACTGGAGGATATGTCAAGATCTGGTGAATGTTCGTTGGAAACGTTCCTATCGGATGTTCTTCGAAAATTCGCGACTCGAAAGGGTTGAGCCCTACCAATTCGCTCCGTCTGCCTGGCCAACGAGTCAGAAACACGGGCCGCCGAATAGGTTTGTCCATGCAGAGGTACAGCTGCTCATCCACTATGAGGTGAACGGGTTTCAAACTTTCCCCCGCGTGATAGGATCATCGAAAGAGGCTTGCTATCTCTGCAACGCTTTCATCAAAGCCCACGGCCGTTTCTGCGTCACCAAGGCACATCGACAGTTTTTCGAGAAGTGGACGGTCCCTGAGAGAATAAAATACAGCCCTGAGAGCCTTGGGCGAATTCGACGGTCACTTCAACTTATCAACCAGGAAGTCAGCCAGGATCTGAAGAAACTGCGAAAACAGAGAGTATTCCGGCCAGCCCCGCTCCAAAGCTCGATCAACTTGAACAATCCTCTAGTATCGTCGCCTTCGACTTCCGTAATCACTTCCGTATTGAGTGGGGCAGCCAGTAGCCAGACTCCTCGAAAATCTGTTGACAGCGGAATATCCTCGCCTTCTGAGATGAGAGACGAAGTACGCCAGAGGCAGGGCGATCCAACAAGACCTTCGACGCTATCTTCAAGATCGCGATCGGGGTGTTCGTCCGTGTCGACTGTCAAGCCTACGGAAGGTATACCAGATACCAGTGAAGATGACAGTACAATCGTTGCCGCTATTCGTATGCCAGCGAGTTCAGAATCCAGGCTACACGCATCTCCAGGGAGATGCTTAGATTATATCGAGCCAACACCGGAAAATTGGCCGAACGCTGTCCCGGAGAATGATGAAGTGAGAACAATTGATGATCAGTGTGGGCCTGCATTGTGCATGGCTGCGGGTACTCATAGAGATGGGGCCTCTCCCGAAATTGTCACGGAACGGCGAGCAGGGAAAGATAGGGATAGCACAGCAACGAGTCGGACTGCGTCCGCCAACGGGGATGCTCCTCATCCCGCAAGCTTTACCGTATCTCAGGGGTCGCAGATTGAACTGCTTGCAAGCGCAAGCGGCCTCTTAGGGGCCGCTTACAAGCATAAGGGGGGTCCAGATTCGATCAATCAATCCGCCAAGACTCCGCTTGGATTGATTGATCGCTTGATAAGCGCTTGCAAGCTGGATTTCTACTATAATAGGCTTAGTGTTTTCCTAATTTAGAAGGTATGATACGTGCATATCAAGATGGTTTCAAGGCTACCCACCCCCTCCCCCCCTCCCTCCTCCACAGACCCGCCGAGATATATAAAATTAGTAACACTAAGCCCATTATAGTAGGTAACTGCCCCTAAGAACTGCTTACCAAGCGCTTGCAATTAATTGGGGTAATTTAGCCCGCTTGCAAGCCAAGCGCTTGCTCCTGAAAAATCGATCAAGCGGGTCCGAAATGGCCGCTTGCAAGCGGATTGATTGAACGCTTGCAAGCGCGCTTGCGCTTGTTGCGACCCCTGCCGTATCTCCAGATCACGCTATCTATATTCGGATGAAGAAACTCCATATGCACATCTACTTAGAAGGTGGATGGACGGATCACTCGGATCAGCAATTGGCAAGCATCAGCATTCATCTAGCTCAACCTTCCGAACTCGAAGAAAAGTCACTGGTTGATGTGCGAGCCACGAGTCCTGGAGAAGATCTCATCTTTGAGAAACCGACCCATGCTGATGGAGAAGGCTTGCAGCTCAATCTCCAACTTGGACATGGCGAGCCTGTTGGCTTAGTGTGTAAATGGCAGGCTTCTGTAGTCAATGACTAGATTGATACATCGAACGGCGGTACTACCGAACTTTCTCTAAGACATATGTGACTGTATTGAACTGGATTGGATTGGTCTATTCAGGCTACTATGCCTTCTATGGAGATATTAGAGCCGTCCGTACTTTTCCGTGTCATCGGTCCTCTTGTCCCTTGCCTCAATTCTCAGCTAAACTCCGGTTAGTGATCGTACGGCGACTGTGCCGCCCCACCACTTCTATCGCGGCCGGACAACCGTGTAGTACACTTTAGAAACTGAATCACCGCCTAACCTACCAGCGAATCCGGCTCCTATCGTTGCTTTGGCTCATCAACCGGTTGTCTAGTCCGCCAGTCCTGTATCCTACTCCACCCTCCAAGCATGAACAACCCATCTCTCCTCCTTTCCCTAATAGTAGGTAACAGCTTGCTACGTATCTGCCACCCCAGTGGACACACGAGGAGGATATGCCTCAGTCTCTCTGTTCACTGTCCACACTCACACTGCCCCGACTCTTCTTTCCGCAGGTGAAAAGAAATAGCTGGAGGAAGCTATGGTTAGTCCGATACTGCATGAGAGTAGCCGCGCTCTCCGCATTGAGGCTGTTGTGTAGCTGCAGTGCGTGTTGCTCTGGGAATGCTCCGTCTAGCTTGCGCGTGTTATTTCCCCGCAGCCCTATTTCCGAGCTTGATTTAAACCACGTATACGAAGGCTGCCGTGGGGTGAAAATGACTGGGAGCAATACCCCTGCAATGAAAATGCCAGACAATCTCCTGGTTGGAATCCGTGCCTTGATCAAGAACCCCCACGCTACGATGATGCCGCACCCCCTCCTGTCAATGAAATGCCCTCATTGGATGAAATTATCTGGGGAATATCGTGGCAGCCTTTGGATGAGACTTGTCTGTTAAAGGACGCCGATGGTATTTCTCGTCCCCAGAAATGCAAGGCAACGGAAGCGCTGGTCGAATGTCCCGATCGTCCTGCCAATGCTCCAGCCGGGAATCCCTTCCAAGACACAATCCTAGGTACCCCCATGGAGGCGGATTCTAGTCAGAAGTCGACACATTTCGGAGATAGTTCTCCGGCACCACTTTCATGGGTTTCGCAGGCAACAGAAGTAGAGGAGGCGATGAGATTGTCCTTGGTCCGCCGTGGGAGCGCAGCCAGCGCCTCGAAGCCCATGAATTGTGCTTTACTCAAGCAACCCTGCCTACTCCCGGAGATGCAAGAGTGGATTTTAAAGATGTGGGACTACGACTTCTGCGCGCACGACATCCGCCGCGATCAGCTCCTCAATCTAGGCTCCTATGCACGCAAAAACTTGGTGGGCCTCTTCGACAGCACCAAGGCGGCGATGCAGTTTGACTTTTTGGAGAGAGCGTCGAAAAGGCTGATCGTTCCTGGTTTACGCCTGTCTGGCCTTAGGCTTGATGTGAAGCACTTTCACAGTTGGTTGGAGAGCCGTATTAACCGCAACTCTGTGACGCTGCTGGCTGGGCCATTGAGGAATATGCACTTTACGCTGAGGGAGGTCGGGCTGCGGCAGGTGGAGGGAAGCGAAGCTAGGGAATTTTACGAGTAGAAGGCGAAATGCTGCGCCATAGCTTTTTTCATGTTTGGTGGAAGAATGTGAACGGATCTGGCTTTTGTTGGACAGGTGTGGCGGATCTTGAGAGGTTCTTGATGGAGATGCGCCCGGTCTTCCTAAGACCTATGCCTCATTGCAAACAGCCCTCTTTCTAGTTTTCTCCACTTTGATTGGTTGTTGTCAAGGCTGTGCGCGGGCGGCCAAGGGAACATTAATACTGCCGCTGCAGCTTTCAATCACCTCGGCTTCCTTTTAACGTCAAGAGTGTATATAGCCAACTTCATTTATTGTTCACGTGATGAATCCAGCTCCTGCACCACAGGAGGAAGGTCTGTAAACTAACTAACCCCAGTCACTAGACAAATCAAGCATAGCAATAGGCCGCCAGTCGAGTTTAGGTGGGTGCCGGCACACCAGGGAATCGCAGGCAACGGGAAAGCACATAGATTAGCACTGCAAGCCACGCAGAGCAACCAAGAACCTCCTTTAGGTAATCCAGTACGGTCGTTGATAATAGCCCAGCGCAAGGCAACCATCTCCAAATTGTGGAGGAAATCCTTCGAAGCTGCCAAGGTTGGCGAGTCCATCCGCAAGCTTGACCGCGCGCTAGTGTATCTTCACACTAAGAGGCTCTATGACCCCTTGAACTGCAAAGAAGCAGTAGTAATGGCCTAGTTGAGGACGTCAAAAGTGAGCAGAAGCACCCGAATGCGACTGCGGAGCAGAGAAGGAAACAGCCAAGCACTTCCTCTTGGAGTGTCCGCGTTGGATGGATCTCAATTCCCTGCACTTTGTCAGCTTTTCTATTAGTACGTTCGTTTGCATCTCTGTTTTGGACTGTTGGACGGGAGGAGGGGATGGCTTCTTGTATACAGCGTGCTGGGCCTCGAATGAATCGGGATCCCAATGTAGCTTAGAGTAGAATAGCGTTCCTTGTCCAAGCAGTTTAAACAAGATAATCCCTCTTGGTCGGCTTGTCTTGCAAGATGATAGAGGTAGGGTGGCTCGAATTTGCTTGTCTTGCCAAGTGCTGACAAGGGGTAGGTTCGTTTGGACAAGTGTCCTAGATGACAAGGTCGCTGCAAGGAGCAAAGGGAGTTGGCACTTGAGGACTCGTCACCTGGAAAGGACGAACGGAGAGAAAATGACAGAGGCCAAAGATCGAAGACCAAGTTCATTGTTCTTGATACGGGTAGATGGGTATTCCGTCTTTATAGCCGTGTGCTCGGGCAGAGTGCAGCCTAAAGAAGGCAGGACCAAACCCCATGCACGTGTATTCTATAGACGATTTCGGTCCAAAATAAAGGAAAGTAAAATAAGGAAAGACACCCCTCACTGCCAGTGACCCCTGGTTTTACCGGCTGCATGCCGCTGCCCGCTACTAATATCACCGCTGTTTGTGCTGCCCATCTGCAACCTCTCACCTTCCATCCCACCGATGTGGCTACGAACTGCGTCAGCTCATCATTGGCCCAAACAACCCGCAATCAACATATCCAAGAGCTTACAGAAAGTGATCTAGAATGTCGCGTACAGAGCCAGCTCCACTGTGGCTGGATAAGGTCTTCCCTGCCTCCTTCCCCTGTGCAAACGTCCACATCACGACCGGACAATGCGGTAAGGTCGGCGTCAAAACATGTACGAACTGCTATATGGTCTTGGTAAGCTCCAATAATGCTTCCTAGATTCGTCAGATACTGATCCAACCGCGATAGTACTGTAGCAAAGAATGCCAGAAACGTCACTGGGCTAAACACAAGGCCGACTGCAAGTCTAGTCTGATGAAGACGACGTGGCGGCCGTCTTGGGAAGCGGAACAGCGGCAGCCACACTTTGTAACAAACATTACCTCGGTCGCAGACTTGGCTACGACGCACGGCAAGCAGAAATTCCTCTGGGGCAACGTGCCTGCCCTAGACGTGCTCAACCTCGATGCCAACGAGGGAATCCACTACAAAAATGACATCAACATACTCTTCGCCGGTACCAACCCCATCAGCCCAAACCAACTCAACTAATTCTGCTAACTTAACCCCGCCCCACAGCCTCCGGTGACCTACGTAACGTTGTCAAGACCATCACCAACATCCCACCCGCCTACGCCCCGCCATCCCTCACCGCCGTCCTCAACGACCGCGATATCGACATCGTCGCCCGTAACGCCGTCCTGCTCCTGGCCGCCCTGTACATCGATAATAACATCGTCGCCGCCGCCGCAATGCTGCACACATGGTACTCGGCGCTCATCCCGGCGGGCGTCCTGCAGCAGCTGCGCGCCACGGTGCTGCCGCTCATCCAGGACGTATGCGCCAAGATTGCCGACAAGCCCGCGGACCGGGCGCTATCCAATACGTTCACCCGCGGCGGTTCGTGCAACTCGACGCTGCGGCTCGTGCTCGAAAAGCGCTGCTGGGTCGCGCTGCTGGGATACCTAGAGGTGCCGGCCGGAATAACGGCCGAGGAGGGTGCGGACGGCCACGGTGCTGGCGGAGGCGCGGAGAGACTATGTTGACCGTGCGCTACTCTGCCAGCCACCTAAATGGCGGGGCGCGACGATGCGGTTCCGAAGGGATGGCGTGGTATTGCCGTTTGGGACTGCGATGGGGCCGGTGTTTGATACGCCGAATCCGTGAGTGGCTTTTTTTTTCTGTTTTTTTTTTGGTTTTTTCTTATCGTCTTCTTTTCTTCCTGAGGCCTACTATCTCCACTTCTGGTACGTCTAGATGTATGTTAACTGTATAACACATAACACAGGACCTTCTTCCAGGAGCGCGGCGTGTGGCCGATGATGGACAGCGCGGATCCGCTCAACGGTTGGTCGATGGACGACATCTTGCAGAGCACACCGCTGGCTAAGAACGACCTGTACGGCGGCTTGTTCTTCCATGTGAGGAAGCTGCTCGTGGACTTCTGCGCCAAGCTCAAGACGATGAAGATCAGCTTCGTGCTGCTACACAAGGATGCTGCTGAGCTGCCCAAGATGCTGGCAACTGACTTGCAGCTGACGCAGTTATTCGACCGGATCGAGGTACATATACCCGCCCGCCACATCTCTATCGACTAGAGGAATGCAGCAGCTGACATTAAGTTATAGATATCTAACATCGCGGATCGCTTCTATCTGGGGCTGGCCGCGTCCCTGCGCACCTTCGCGCCGCTCCTCCGCCCGCCCAACGAGAACCCGGACGCGACGCTACTGACGCTCTTCATGAACGCCATTAGTGAAGTCGAGACGCAGCAAGATTCTATGGCTACCATGTTTCGCATGACGGACCGCGCAGTGAGATCCTTTCTGCTCCAACGCCACTCCAACCACCAGAACACCGAAGCCGTGAGGTACGCGTCTGTGATGACAGCTTTTAAGGACTTTGATGGCCTGTTTGAGCGGTACAGACATGTCTGCTCGTTCGATGCCGTGGCCCGGGCTGCTCGGGTCGAGGAGAAGCCCGTACACACCATCGCCGCGCCCTGGCCCTTGAGGTTGGGCGAGTATGCGACCAAGGCTGAGTTTGACAAGTTGATGGCATCAGGTCATCGTGGAAATGAGAGATACGTGGAGTGGCAGAGGCTGCCTGGGGCCTTAGGTGGAGGAGAAGAAGCTGAAGCTCTGCCCGGTAATCAGTGCGTGGCTGGCTGATTCCAGGTAGGACCATTTGGGTACATTCATGAGGAAACATTTCCATTAGCCAAATCTCTATTAGCCTTAAAACCACAACGGTGGAATAATCGTTTTGAAGCTTACAGACGCGTACTCTCAACCGTCTTCTTTCGTGCTGTGTAGTTCAAATCTTGATAACTCTTTTTGTTGTGTCTCAATGTTGAGTAGACATAGAGGTGTTTTTTTAATGAATATAAAGCAGCCCTGGCTTAATATTCCATTTTGGTTTTCGTCGACAAAACTAAACTACCTTTGGAAAGGAGTGCTCTGCTGCAACGCCCATGTCTTAAATTTGCGTTTGCGCCCCCATTTAATGGAGTTGTTCCCAGCGGGGCGACCGAGAATCTAGCCATCTCTTGAAACCCAATTTGTTCGTCTCAACTGATATCCTGTTCACAAATGTCATCAATTTCTACAAAAAAGCGAGGTCGGCCGGCCAAATATGCTTCAAAGGACAAGAAGAAAGAGGCGGACGCGAAGAGAAGGCGAGTGCAGAGAAAGACCGCCTCTGCAGTAGAGGGAGAGGCCCGATTCGACCAACACTACGTTGTGGAACAAGCACAAGCTGTGTCATTTTTACCAGTTTCAGGGCTAGGAGATACAGCAACGACGGCGCAAACTCGTCTCGTCGAAGTAAGACCCGCCGGAAGAGACGAGCTCGAGGAGCTCCTGCCACCTTTTAAGTCCCATAAGTAACCCTTTACTGGTTCCTGAAGCGATGGGATTCGGTGACGCTTCAGACTCTGCTGATTTGCGTGTCTCGCGCACGGCGTTCCCGCCAGCCGCTGCGAACAAACAAGCTCGCGTGCAGGCTCGTTTTGCCGATAAGATAGTTCGTGCCACATCTTCAGTTGTCTTCGAGCCATCTATGGCAGCATCTGGCCCGTCCACGCCTGTATTCGATAGCGAGACGCTCGCAGGTGCTAGAGAGCTGGAGGAAACATCGCAGGGAAATGCTACTACATTTGGAGAAAGGATATGTGCCAGCACAAGTGAAGATGGGGATGCAGCTGCGGCTGGTGTACATCTGAACGACAAGGCGGAGGACGTCAGCCGACTTGCAGGCCGATTGGTGGACCAACTAATTTAGCATCGGGGATGCTGCGAGCATTGTTAGAGGCAGTCTCGGGATGAACATGCACAGCTTCACTCAAGCTATGTTGGTCTTCAGGAATACCTGGACAGGACTGCAGAAGCTGTGCATTACCCCGATGTCTTGGGATTGGAGACCATTGCAACCCGGGAGGCGAATCTTGCCGCGCAGACAAGCGGGGCAAGCAAGCGTCGCATATACTGCGGGGTCGACGAGAAAGATGCAGGTTCGGCTCCAGTCCACATCTGCCTTGAGGCTGAAGACCGGCGGACCGCAGTTGCCGAAGTCACGTTTGACATTGACAGCGTTGTTCGCATTCCGAGCAGTCTGGCCATCGCGAAGCAGGGCATTCGTTGGAATCCCACGCAGATGCCAGTCTCCGACCTCCGATCAGGTCTGCATCTCAACACTCGCCCAGTTCGCTACATTGATCGCCATGGCCATGCGCGTACGGTGCGGAAACCAATCCATCAACTGCCACACTACAGCTTTGGACGGCTGATATGGTTTGACGATGTCTCGCTGTACCTGCTCTTTCCACACCTCTATCGAGAAGAACAGCAATCGAGCCGTCTCTTGGACGATGATTTCCGCATCTGGATGGATCAGATCTTGCTTCCAGCCATATACCAACACCATGGCAGTTCACTTGTGCAGCACTATCGATCGAGCTATGACCATAGTCGCTACAACTCCACGGCTCGAGGAGTAGAAGCGCGATCGCAGCGGACCGATGCGAGACCGAGGGAACAGCTTCTTTCCTATTTCTTTCCGCCAGACTCCCTCCATGGGATTTGGCAGACAATCTGACGGTTTGGGGTTTCGCGACACGATGAGACGGCACGGCTACGCTGGGCTCATGCACAAGGTGACTGGGAAACGATGACGTTCCGGCAGCCTTTTGCGCAGTATATGATGTTCAACAATCCGTCGATGCAGGCAGCCTACAATGCACGGTACAGCCAGGTCCGGGACGTACGCGTCGATTTTATCCGAGTCGACAAGGTTCGTCAGTGGATGGTGGAGTTTAGCGCAGTGCCAACCTGCCTGGACTTTCTGGAAAAGTATCTTCGGCAAGCCTGCCTCTGTGCTTTCCGCAAAGATATCTTTTCCAACATTAAATCCTCTTTGCACAAGGGTCATGCGGAGAAAGCCCTGGCTGGCCGAGTTGGTCTTTGTTGGCCGAGTGTGAATAGAGTGATGAAGGACAGACATCGGCCTCCACAACTCGCAAAAGGAAATCGGCTGGCGGTGAAGAGCATAGAGGTGCTGTTTTCCTGGCTGTGGGAATGGAAAGATGGGCACTACGAGCGGAAAGGGTGGAACAAGAAGCCGTACCGGATGCTCTATCAAAAGAGTTTCGACACCATCACACTGGCCCGAGGAAAGCAACAGGGCCGCGAGTGGAAAAATACGCTGAGAGAGTCGTTCTTCAAGAGCCATTGGATGCTACCATATCCACAGAATCAAGCCTTTATGCGGAAATCGAAAGAGACCAAAGGAGTAATCTGGTGGCCGAGCTACCACGAGGGGCTCGACAGGTACTACGCGCAATTGGCAGGCTACCGGTTCTTGCCGCAACTTTTTCCTGCGTCCTAAATTGAGCACCATCCTCCTAGCGGGTGGGGGCTACGGCGTGGATTTCTGGATCATATGCCGTACGAAGTCGAACCGGAACAGGATCTCCTGGACTTACCGGAGGCGGATGTGTATGAAAAGCTGTTGGATATTAGGGCCAAGTTTAATAGCGTGCCTAACGGTGCCACTGTTGCGGCTGAGAAGGGGCCAATCGCGATTTATGATGTGAAAAACATTATAGAGGACCCTAGAACGTAAAGAAAGCCTGTCAAGTCTTGGAACGTACTGGAATGTAGCATACAGTTGAACAAAGAGATGGAAAAGTATGAGATCTTGCAACATAGGAAAAACCTGAGGAGGCGCCGTCGGAAAGAGCGCAGCATGAATATAGACCAGAATTCTGACTAGGGCTCGGAAGACAACGGTACAGAGTCAGAGGTGACCTCCGACGAGGAAAGCCTGGAGCAGTAGAAAGTCGGACAACTATCTCTTATCATGGATATAGAAAACAAATGCGGACTCGAATAGCTAGGGATCGCGAGAAGTATGCCAATCCGAACCTTCACGCAGGTGTGCTCAAAATGCATGAGCCGAGGTTGAAAGGTTTGAGCCGACATGGGTGGTGAGAAAGACAAATTCGCTTGTAGTTGGGAACAATGAGCGCACCGCTCCGGCGATAAGAGGAAGTTGATGTCATAACTTGCGAGTAAGGAATGAATCGACAAGTGCTACTGAAGCGTGAAGCAAGATTTACGACTAAAGTCTCTGTTATGCGACTGGGAATATTTCTCAGATATTCTTAGTGTAGAAAAAAGGATTTTTGCCTGTACAAACAATACAGTCGCTTGCAAAATCGGCTTCGCCCCAGCTCGCCTAGATTTTTATCTGAGCACGGACCATACAGCCAGTTATAAATAGTGCGCTCTCGTTACACCAAGTATTGTACGGTAATTTTGTAATTTGAATGTCGCTACTAATTAACAGTCTTGTCGCAAAGAACGATGGCCGGAGTTTCTGATGCAGGTGATGTCAGATCCAGATCTTCCTAGCATACTTTCCACATTCAAGATCGCACAGGACGAAATAAGCTGCTCTCTGCACGATAGAGCTCAAGATGAGGTGGTCATGGGCCTGTGTGGACTAGGCCCGGCCCGCTGCGCCGCCGTTGTTGGCTGGACTCCTTCCGGCCACGTGGCAAGATAGGCAGAGCCGCGTCGCTTCCCCGCAGTCTTCGGTAGACTCAACTCTCCGGACATCAACTCAACTTTGCCCTACATTACTCACAATATGGCGCCGAACCTTGCAATTTCTCAGCACGAGCAAATAAGGGACATGATTCGCAGCAAATTGACTAATGCCACAATAGCCAGATCCGTCGGCTGCAGCACTCGCTCCGTCCAGAACATACGATCGAACCTGCGATGCTTCGGGTCCACTAAAGCACCTCCTAACGGGACCGGACGACGCAGAATCATCACGCCGCCTATGCTGAGCGCATTGCTAGAACACCTCATCGAGAAACCCGGACTATACCAAGATGAGATGATTATCTTTCTGTACGATGAGTTCGATACTCTGGTCACAGCTGCGACGATCAGTAGGGCTTTAACGTCGGCAGGCTGGTCCAAGAAAGCCGCCCGCCATGTTGCAAAGGAGCGCAACGCAGACCTACGAGACTTCTATCTTCACACTCTATCGGCGTTTCGCTCGTACCACTTGGTGTATATTGATGAGTCTGGATGTGACAACCGGATCGGATTCAGGCGGACTGGGTGGTCCCCCTTAGGAGTGACACCGGTACAAGTAGCTCGACTGCACCGCAGCCGGCGATACCAGATTCTGCCGGCATACGCGCAGGATGGCATTGTCCTTGCTCGCGTGTTCCAAGGCTCAACTGATAGCGTTATTTTTGAGGACTTCATCGAGCAACTGCTGCATCATTGCGGCAGGTGGCCTGAGCCAAAGTCAGTCCTGATTATGGACAATGCTTCATTTCACCATTCGGAGAGAATCGAGCAACTATGTGTCGAGGCTGGAGTAAAGCTGCTCTACCTACCGCCTTACTCGCCGGATCTGAATCCTATTGAAGAATTCTTTGCAGAGTTGAAGACATTCATCAAACGGAATTGGCAACATTGTAGCAACACCATCCGGCATGATTTCGGGGCGTTTTTAGAGTGGTGTATCGATAATGTAGGAGCAAGGAAATCAAGCGCTAAAGGCCATTTTCGGCATGCTGGACTTTCAATCGAGGGGCTGTAGAAGTAACTATATAAGATTCTAGGCTACTAAGAAATGTGTTATCCTAAGCAATATTGTGTTGTCTGGCCCAAACCTCGATATCACGGACAAAACGTCGTGCAACACCACTCTTGATGCCCTTTTGAATATAGAAGTCAGCATGTTGATCCTCCCACACCAACTCGAGGTCGAGGCCTTCAGCCAATGTCAAGTCACAAGCCTTCTGGTACTCCATTTTAAGAGCCGTGTTGCTCACTTGCGAACGCTGCCATTCACTGTATCTCATGACAGCGATGTCACGTGGTCCCGGAATTTCCAGACAGGTGAGAGGCCTAGATTGCACGGCCCCTGCAGACGCCGGAGTTGGGGCACCAGCGTCTAAGCCCGCGGCTTGAGAAGGTAGCACGTTAGTGATATTGATAGGCGGATATCCTGCCAGCGAAGAGGCTCTACGCTTCCGCCGGTGTTCGGCATCCTGCTGCTCTTCAGCATACAGTTGTTCACGAATGTCATCAGGCACATCATCGTGAGTCCGCAGCGCAGCGCCTTGCTCTACGTGCTTGATGAGGCTTTTTAGGTGGTGTGTCCTAAGCTTGTAGTGCTTCTTGCCGACGCTGTCGCGCCAGCAATGAGGTCCTAGGTTACAAGGTGGTCCGGGGCATCGCATGAGGTTATAGACATCCCGCCAAATCGATGGACGGCCTGCAGCATCCTCTTCAGCGTCAAGCTGCATAGCTCGCTCCGAGAGCATATACTGAGAGGCTGAAGAGTATCCTCGTTTGGTTCCCTGCCGAGTAGATGCCCCGACCGTATCGCCAGTCTCCAGGTAGTGGAACGATATGTCGATCCTAAGCCTCTTTCCAGCGCGGAACAGGTGGCTCCAAGTTTTGAGCTGCTTCTCCAGTATTGCCCAGTCAATATCAAGCTCATCGAAGCGCTTGACAAGGTCACGCTCCGTGCGGTCCGTGACAGATACGACGATGGCAGTGTCGTCTGCCCTAAAAGACTTGTTCTGCGGTAGCTTCCTAGCTAGAAGCTTGTCTAATTTCGGTCGCAGAAAAGTCGCCCAGAAAGCACTAGGAGCAAGAACGAGATCTGGCTCTGTTTCTCTCGCGACTTGTTTACTGTTGACTGTCAATTTCCACTCGATGGAGTAATGGATGCATGTTGGCGGCTTTTCGTTGTAAGTCTTGTCCTGGCTCCAGTCAGCCGGCTGTAGCAATGGCAATGAGTCATGGCCATGCCGCAGTTGGCTTTGACCAGTTGGAACTAAGTCGGAGACGGCCTCGACGTCACTTGGTGCCGGGCTTTCGGTAGAAGTCTGCTCAGTCTGGGTCTCGAGAGCATCTCCAGCAGGTGAGTCTAAGCCATTAAATTGCGCCCAGAAGGCAGTTTCAAAGGAAAGGTTGGGCAGGCGCTCAGACATGTTTATGGACACTTTAGAGGCGGGTGGCGATAGTAGCGTGAGGCTATTGCACTAGGGGCGAACACCATACGAAACGGCCTCTTAGTGGGCGATGATGCCACGTAACTAGAAGCTGTTCTAGCCAATAGCGGTACAGCACGCTTTACGCAGTCCTAGACCTGAAGACTGGTAGTAGACAACTGCATATGACTGAAGGTGGTCAAACAAGGATTTTGATTCAATCGTTAAAGAAACAGATTGCTTCAGACGCTGTGCAGGATAAGTATATACAGATCGTGCTCTAAGCTGTATCAGCTAATATCACGTGACTATGCAAGGGCCTAAAGGATGTCCCGTTCTCTTTACTTATTTAAGTAAGGCAGAGCTACTTAACGTAAATAGAGTAACCAAACTTCTAGACGCATTCCAGTCCTTGTATATATGCCTCTCGATAGGAAACGTTCAACCATCCCACTCACGTGGATGGCCGTGCTGCAACGTGTTTGCCCCGCTTACAGCCTTGCGAAATGTCTTTCCTCAGCTACAACTTCGCTTGTCTTCTCAAAGCAAATCGTTCGCTCCTCGTTATCCCTTTCTAACGACTGCCAACTGTTCCAGGCTAAGGCACTATGGATCCCGGCACAGGCCTCGCGGTGTTCGAGCTCTCTTTGAAGGTCGCAAAGCTTTGCTGGGAATACTATCACAAGGTCAAAAGCGCTAAAAGTGAGATTGAACGCCTCAAGGGAGAAGTGGATAGACTCAAGGCTCCTCTTGAAGCTGCAGAGAAGCTTCTCAAACGCCCAAATGGCCAGAGACTCCAGGCTACACAGTCCTTGTCGAGTGCACTCCAGGGCTGCGAAGCACAACTCAAAGAGCTGGAAACAAAGCTGGAGACCAAGCTAGAAGACACGCTCAAGCATGGGAAACGACAAAAGGCAATGAGGCGACTCGGCCTTCGCGCACTTAAGTGGCCACTCGAAAGCAAAGATGTCGACGCCATCATTGCAACCCTCGAGAAGCATCGAAACGAGCTCTCTCACGCTCTTCAAATCGACCAGACGTACGTTACAGCTTGTTACTTAGTTTATCTCAGCTAACTTAACCTTAGTACGGAAATCCTTGACATTGGCCAAAAGCTCGACCTCTCGAAACTACATACCGCGAAAGGTGCATCCTTTGACTCGCACGCCGAAGAGCATAACACACGATGCCTTCCCGAAACACGAGTCTCCCTACGCAAGGATATAAAGGAGTGGGCAGAGAATGCACAAGGCGAATGTATCTTCTGGCTTAGCGGCATGGCGGGTACTGGAAAGTCTACAATTTCACGTACGGTCGCGCAGTCGTTCGCCGACGAGGGAGTCCTTGGCGCTAGCTTCTTTTTCAAAAGGGGCGAGAAAGATCGCAGCAGTGCAGCCCTGCTGTTCACGACTATTGCTGCCAGACTTGCCAATATCCCTATTTTGGCAACTCCCATCAGAAAAGCCATTGAGACCGACCCCGAACTTCATCATAAAGCTCTAAAGGAGCAGTTTGAGCACCTCATCATAAGACCTCTGGAGAGTTTCAAGGGTGATCCTATCAACCCAAAGAGGATTGTGCTCGTGATTGACGCACTTGATGAATGCGAGCGAGATGAAGATGTCCGAGTCATCATCCAGCTACTGTCACAAGCAAAGATACTAAATTCTGTATGGCTGAGGACTTTCGTGACGAGCAGGCCTGAACTTCCAATCCGGCTTGGCTTCAGCAAAATCGAGGGACAGTACCAGGATCTTGTCCTTCACGAGATACCAAAGCCGGTCATCGAGCACGACATTACCGCATTCCTAGAGTACAAACTCAAAGAGATTAGGGACGAGTACAATAGGCGGTCTGCCGGCAAGCGGCAGCTTCCATCGGACTGGCCAGGTACCGAGGCGATTCAGACACTGGTTCAGATGGCCATTCCACTCTTCATTTTCGCAGCTACTATTTGCCGATTCATTCAGGATTCTGCATACTCGAACCCAGACGGTCAATTACGCAAGGTCTTGGGATATAAGGTAGGGCGGGCCGAGGTGGACAGACTCGATGCGACCTATCGTCCAATCCTGGACCAGCTAGTCTGCAAACGGAACGAGGAATCCAAGGAGTCCATAATCCGTGACTTTCGCACCACTGTAGGCTCAATTGTACTTCTCGCTGAACCTCTCTCGACAACATCTCTGGCAAGTCTTCTCGATATTGACGAATCCGATGTCTGCGGTAGACTCGAGTCTCTCCATTCCGTCTTAAGCGTGCCAGATTCCACCGACCTTCCCGTCAGAACGTTCCACCTTTCATTTCGTGACTTCCTCATTGATCCGAGCAAGCGCGGCACCAATCCATTCTGGATAGACGAGAGGGCAGCCCACGAAAATATCGCGAACAGATGTCTAGAGCTGCTGTCCTCGGGTGATCGCTTAAAAAAGAACATCTGTAACCTCGACATTCCAGGAATCGCCTGTGTGGAAGTAGACCCCGCTGTCGTCAACTCGCATCTCCCCGCAGCTGTTCGATACGCATGCCTCTATTGGGTCTATCATCTGGAGCAGAGTCGTCCAGCAGAGGACAAAGCTTGCATAACAGATGATCACCAAGCATACATCTTCCTCAAACGTCACTTCCTACACTGGCTGGAGGCATTGAGTCTCTTGGGAAAGATATCTGAAAGCATTGCTATGATCAGATGCCTGCAAGATTTGACCAGCGTAGGTTATAGCGAACCAATTCGTGTGCTTTGCTAATATTAGTGATATAGTCTAGAAACAGTTCCGGTGTTACCTCCTTCCTGCGTGACGCAAGCCGATTTATCCTCAACTCTCGGTCTATCATCGATCTCTCCCCTCTTCAAGTCTATTCTTCTGCGATGATTTTTGCTCCAGAGAGAAGTGTAGTCAGGAACACCTTCCAGAAAGATATCCCAGACTGGATCTCGGTCCTACCAAAGGTCGATTTGGAGTGGAGTGCCTGTCGGCAAACGATCGAGGGCCACAGTAGCTTGGTTCTAGCCGTAGCCTTCTCGCCGGACGGGAAGACGGTGGCATCGGGTTCGGGCGATAAGACGGTGCGGCTCTGGGACGCGGCGACGGGCGAAGAGAAGCAGAAGCTCGAGGGCCACAGTCGCTCGGTTGAGGCCGTAGCCTTCTCGCCGGACGGGAAGACGGTGGCATCGGGTTCGGACGATAAGACGGTGCGGCTCTGGGACGCGGCGACGGGCGAAGAGAGACAGACGCTTGAATTCGACCACACTATTCTTAACCTATCATTCCCTACCAATTACTTACATCTAAAGACGGATCGAGATGTAATAAACTTTGATCTAGGCGCTGAAGGGACATCTTTATCATCTAAGATCTTGGGTCACTCCCTTCTGTTCGGTCAAGACTGGGTGACTTACAATGGGAGAAGAGTCCTCTGGCTTCCCCGCACTTTCGGCCCGACCGCATAGTTTCTCATGATAACACATTTGCATTGGCATATCGTTCTGGTCTTGTAAAAGTTATTGGGTTTACTTTTTCATAGATAGTACTTAGCTGCAAGTAATGACCCTTTGTGAGGGCTTGCGTCTGGTGCTGTTAGGGTTGGCGAGGTGAGGCGAAATATCTTAATTTGGGACTAGGAAAATGTGCTACGGAGGTGGATAGAACGGTCTCTTGACTGGCTGATCTTGACTTGAATACCTAAGGCATTCATGCTGCTTGGGGAATCAGAAAACACCAGAATCGTGACAGGTGCACTCACGGAAATGCAGTGGCATCGGTTTTTATAAAAAGAACACCAATCCTCACAGTAGAAAGGCACTTTGAAGGATACGAAGTGTTATATATTACCATAATTGCTCTAGATACGAGCTACATAAGCGACGGTAACAGTGTAGTGGTCCGTGCACAGTCAACAATTCTGGCGAGGCCGGGTGAAGCCAATTATGCAAGCGACTGTACTCCATCAGACCCTCATCGCACGAGCTGGCACGGTATAAAGTTGAAGAAGTAATAGCGGCGCAGAGCATGATATAGAGGATATAGGCTCGGCTGAGGATGGCAGTGGGCTCTGGATGCTACAGTTGTAGGGTGCCGCGGAAGGTTTGCAGCCGCTGGGCGAGGGACAATTGAGCGGCGAGAGGGCCTAGGCAAATGGTTTTGAAACATTAATAATGGAGGGTAGTAATGGTGATGGTAGTAGGGGTGGTATGACTAGGGTTGTAGTAGAGGATAGGCTGGTTTCAATATTCTCTACTTGCACGCAGGGTGGGGCGAGAAGGTTCGCCGGGTACAATTTTCACAGCCGAGATCTGCTAATGATTATATTTATGTCCTCTATAGACGCCCTTTTTTCAGTGTGCTTGCTCCTGTAGCGTAGGAGCAAGCCTTTCTTACAGTCCTTTAATCTAATCCAAGCACCTCTCCAGTCTTCTCCGCTTTGGTTAGTTATTGTGAAGACCGTGCGTTGGTAGTCAGAAGAATATCAATTCTGCCGCTGCAGCTCTCAATTACCTCGGCTTTCTTTTTGGGTCGGAATGCATAGCCAACTTCATATATTGTTCACGTGACAACCCTTGCTCCTGCACCACAGGACGAGTGCTCACTGAAAGTCAACCAGATCCAACCTCGCGTTTCCTGATTACTCGTGACAAGGCATCCCACAAGCGAGCGTGCCATCTAAGGAAAGCATCACCCTAGGCTTCAACTAGCAATGCATTAACTGACACACATTTAATGGTAGCCACATTGGAACATGTGCGTATGGGTCCAGTGCTAAATTTGTCCTATCTTGGAAGGTCAGCACGGTTGTTTTCTCAACACCAAAAATAGTAAATTCGCCAGCAACTGAGAAGGTATCGGCAGGGAAAAGCGCTTCGGTTGAGTAGGAAACGCAATCGAAGGCACATAAGCGCTTTGCGCAGAAAAACGGGTCGAAATTCTGCCTTGCGCATTGACGCAACTGTGCACGAGATCCTTGTCATCGGGTGCTTCGCCCCGACGCAAAAGTGTTACGACTGCGCCGCGAGGACCCACTTGGAGTGAGTGGGGGCGGAAGGACCAGCACTGACCGCTTCCAAAGAGCCCCTCGGAAAACGGACAACCCTCTACACACCCCCACCTTCGGTTCCCGCCCGTCTCGAGACAATGCAGTCCGACACCTGGATGAAACCCGTGAGCGTCTGCTGCCGCCGATACAACAGGGTTCTAATTCGAGAGTATATGCATGCAGTCGCGCGAACGCTGTCCTGGGTGTGCGAGGGCTGCTTGGGTGGTAGGCTGGTAGGAGAGCCTAGTATGATCGACTTAGCTTCGCACTCGGATCGCGTCACTACGACCACGGACTCCGGCTCGCCGTAAGCGGCTTCGAGCACCGCGAGCGTGCCCATGATATTCTATCAGGTCGAATCTGCAATTTCAGCCCTGTTAATCACAAGAAAAGGTTCGCCAATGATCTTGACGTGGAGATCGGGACTGCATTATAGTATAGGTTTAGTCCCGTTACTGTATTGAAGATAGGCAGCAGGCAGCAACCAAGAACCTCAATATCATGCAGTCAGCAAAGCCAAGCTGCAAGGCACCAGGAACGGCTGACCGGTTAGCGCACATTTGCAGTTTATGGAATGCGCAAACCCGTTGCCTAAGCGATCTCCGCCACACATGAGTTCATCCCTGCGAGGAAAGGAGAGATAATTGCCCGGAGATAAGCTAGTCGCTCCCGTACTTACAAGTGGGATTGCTCAAGGTTAAGGTAAAGTGTCTTACTGCAACTTAGCCTAGGGGTTGATCGGTGATCGAGTCGCCTGGCTGGGAGCCTTGCTGCTGCCTACTTACTCCACGTTATAATGTTTGTCATTATCACATGAGTCTTCTGCTACATAAATTTGGTCCAATTCTCGTGAGCTCGAATATATGTCACGAATTTAATATTTATTTCGTTACTCAGTAGGGCTGTTTGAGAGCTGAAGCGATCACGGCTTTAGATTGTTGGTGGGAACCATATGCATATCGCATTTTACTTGCCTCTTATTTGGAGGTAGACTTGTGAATGGTGTGGCACACCACTATCAAGTTAACTAAGTTAGCAAATTGCATGTAAACGGTTATAAATCAGAATGTTAATAACGTTTGAATCTAATTCTGCGTCTGGGCCAAGCACCCGATAACAAAGATTCATACACGGCTGGAATCTGCAGGGATAATAGCAAGCACAGCCCGTTTTGTTTTTTCCTATATGCGCAAGGCAGAATTGAACCCAATTTTAATTTCTAATGCCTGTACTTAGCTCTTCAGCCTGTGGGGGCTTAAGTGGAGTCTAAGAGCATTCAGCCAGACTTTCGACCAGGCACTGCATCACTACCAAATTCAAGTCAAATCACGCTGCATCCAAAAGTTGAGCTATTCTGAGCCAGTAGCTGTTGGGTTTGGATATTTTTCTGTAGTGCATGTATATCCAACTTACTATTAGCTGCGGAGGTGTAAATAGAAGAAAATAAAACTAACTAGTCATTCTCACGTGGATATAGTAATTTCTATAGATGGCTCTCAATAAGTCGGTAGAAGGTCAAATTCAAGGACGCTATTCTTCGATGACATCATGCAACTTAATCTCTACTAGGCACAAGAGTCAAACTGCTGCCTGGAACTGAACTGGGCACCCGAGAGTAAGCGAGACCGCATGAAGCACGGGCGGTTGCACGTTGTCAATGGCGAACCGTGCGTTAAAGGATAAGGAATACATAAACGAGCCTCAGTCCTCGGCTGGCTATATACACCAGACGCTTTGTTTCTCTCTACAACGAATCACTTTAACGGTTTGTACCGCTGCTGAAAGCGAGTACTTCAAGGAAAGTTCTGCCGTGCTTGTCAAAAATGGCTGCATCCAAGTGTTTGGACAGCTTAGACCAGTACACGGTCGGATGGATCGCGGCATTGCCAATAGAACGAGCTGCTGCGATTGCCATGCTCGACGAGCAGCACAGAAAGCCTCTCGACTTTACGCAACCACCAAACGACAAGAATTCATACACTTGGGGCCGAATTTCCGACCACAATATCGTCATCGCATCGTTACCCGCAGGAGTTTACGGGACAACTTCTGCCGCTACGACTGCAACGTCCATGCTCTCCTCTTTCCCTCAGATCCGCATTGGCTTGATGGTTGGCATCGGAGCCGGCATCCCACGGCTGGAGGACGATGTTGATATTCGCCTTGGTGACATTGTCGTCAGTCAGCCGTCAGGAAAGAGCGGCGGGGTCGTTCAATACGACTTTGGGAAAGCTAAAGCCAGCGATCGATTTGAGCGCACAGGCTTTTTAAACTCACCACCTCAGGCCCTTCTCAATGCATTGGCCAATCTCCAAGCCCAACACGAATTTGGACCAAAAGTTCCCAAAATTCTAGAAGAAATGCTCGAAAAGAACCCGCAACTTGCAAAGGCGAACCCAGGCAAACCCAGCTACGCGTACCAAGGACGAGAGCACGACAAGCTATTCAAGCCAACATACCACCATTCTCAGGGCAGAAACTGTAATAAGTGCGACCCGGAACAAGAGATCAAACGCGAAGCCCGCGATTCTCAGGATCCAGAAATTCACTACGGGCTCATCGCTTCTGGAAACACCTTGGTGAAGGACGCTACCGTCAGAGACTCCATCCTCAAGGAAGTCGGTGATGATTGCATCTGCTTCGAGATGGAAGCAGCTGGCCTTATGAATAGCTTTCCCTGCCTCGTCATTCGAGGCATTTGCGATTATGCCGACTCGCACAAGAATGATCGCTGGCAGCGATATGCAGCTGCGGCAGCGGCTGCGTATGGAAAAGAGTTTTTGGGGATTATACCAGGGGATGACTTGGAGAAGGCGCAACGGGCAATGGATATAATGACGGACAGTGCGTATTCCTCTCCTACTCTTTCGAATATGTAGTAACGCTCTTGGTAGTTGCAAACACCGTAGAGCAGACCCACTCTATTGTGAAGAATACATCTATTCAACAGCATGATGAGAGAATCAACAAGTGGTTGTCTCCTCCAGATCCGTCGGCCAATTACAACAAGGCCCTGCAGCAACGAAACACAGGCTCAGGCCAGTGGTTCCTCACTAGCGCGGCCTATTCAAAGTGGAAGATTGAGGAAAACTCGTTCTTATGGCTCCATGGCATTCCGGGATGTGGAAAGACAATCCTCAGCTCCACCATCGTTGACGACCTGCAGAACAACGCAGGCTGCTCGCCCCTCTACTTCTACTTTGACTTCAATGACACCAGCAAGCAGAGTCTTGAGAAGGCAGTCCGATCACTTATCATTCAGCTATGCGGCAAGAGCAATGGTGTTCAGAAGCACGTAGATTCGCTCTATTCCTCTTGTGAAAATGGAACAATGCAGCCAAGCATCGACTCGCTGTGCAAGACCTTCCACAAAATGGTCCAAGAGGCTGGTGAAGTCTGGATCATCCTTGACGCGCTTGATGAATGTCAGACGCGGAAGGGGCACTCGGCTGAGGGGCTGCTTTCGTGGATGGAGAGTATCCGAAGCTCTCAGCAGACAAACGTTCACATTCTCGCTACGAGCCGGCCAGAACAAGACATCAAATCGGCCATCGAGAAGTGGAACCGCAAACAAGTCATTTCAATTCAGAGCGATTTGGTTGCAAACGACATAGATGCATACATCCACACAAGGGTCAGGCAGCACACGGGCCTGAGTAGGTGGCAGAAGAAACCGGATGTTCAGAAACTAATTGAAGTTACTCTTTCTAATAAGGCGGATGGAATGTGAGATTTTCGCAAATTAACCTAAATTATTAATATTGATAACAACTTACAGGTTTCGATGGGTTGCGTTGCAACTTGATAGTCTCGAACAATGCGTCAACAATGAAGAGCTGGAAGACGCACTGGAGCATCTGCCAGATAACCTATACGAGACGTACGATCGCATCTTGGATAACATCCCCCTTCGAAGGAAGAAAAACGCCATAAGACTTCTTCAATTTCTTGTATACTCCGAACGACCATTAACACTAAAAGAAGCTGTTGATGCGATCACTGTCAAGCTTGACGGTAGCCCCAGATTTGATATCAAGAGGAGAATGCCAGATCACCAAGAAATTGCAGTCTACTGCTCCGGCTTGGTGACTGTCATTTCTAGCCAGGACAAGGCAGTGACGGAGATCCAGCTCGCACACTTCTCGGTCAAGGAATACCTCGTATCAGATCAGCTGATGAAAAGCGCCTGTGAGGAAGATGCTGCTGAGATGTCCGTCTCAAGAAATCTTGCGGAACCACTTGCAAGGGGTTCGATTGCAGAGGTCTGCCTCGAATATTTGTTCGAGCTAAAACGAGACCTTCCGGCAAAGGAGATTAGGCAATCTTTCTTTCTAGCGCAGTATTCTGCACGGTACTGGATAGTCCATGCCATCGTAGCTGAAAACGGCAGCGAAACGGTTCGTGCTCTTGCAAGCAAGCTTTTCTTGGATGGGAGCTTCTACAAAACCTGGTGCCGCCTATACAATCCTGACCGACCGTGGGATGACGAAGCTGATGAAGGTAGAGAGCTGGCACCTGCTTTGTATTGTGCATCGCTTGTGGGTTTAACTAGCCCAGTCCAGGCACTCCTCGACAAGGGCGCCGACGTCAACGCTCAGGGCGGACATTACGGCAATGCTCTCCAGGCTGCTTCAGAAGGGGGTCACGTTCAGGTGGTTCAGATTCTCCTCAAGAAGGGCGCCGACGTCTACGCTCAGGGCGGAGAGTACGGCAATGCTCTCCAGGCTGCTTCATCCAGGGGTCACGTTCAGGTGGTTCAGATGCTGCTCGACAAGGGCGCCAACTTTAATGGTAGCACTACGAACCTAAGATATATGCTCCAATCCACCGCGCTCTTCTAAATCCTAACCTATAGGAGGCCGGATCCGTAATTGCTTTCTACATAGAAAGCAATAAATTTGTTAGTGGGCCCGTGCGCGACCGGGGGGTAGAAAGCAATTATTTGGGCATGTAGAAAGCAATTAGGTTCCTAGCCCCGATCACGACACAAACTCGATATTTGGGCTCAGAGCGACTCTGCGCAGCTTTTGACAAATTTGCATCGCTTTCCAACGGCGTTGAGGCGGTGCGACAAGGGGGTTGGAAGGCGGGTTAGGCTTGACGTTCTCTGCTCTCGCGCAGGCGGTCGGGGTAAGGACGTCGCTGGGTAGCTTAGGGTTGCGAGTACGACTGATTCGGGTTGGGGTAGCCCGCTCAACGCGGAACTCAAGCATGTAATAGAGCTCTTTCGAGCGATAAAAATGCGACATTCTGTACATCTAGCAGACCGCGTACGGCGGCGGCATACGGTGAGGACCGCCGGCTAGAGTAAGCATTTTAATGGGGTGGCAGGTTAGGGTCAAGCTTGAGGGTAGGATAAAACATAGCAGCGGACCGCTACGGAAGAAAAGGGGGAGAGAAGAAGGAATCTTTTTAGGTACGACATCGATAATAGCAGCATCATTAGTAAGAGCAGGTCCGGCATCAGGCTGCGATAGCGGGCGAGTATTTTGTTTATTTAGCCGAGTATAGAGTTACGGTATATAAAGAGTGCCGATATGGCGATCAAGTGGGTGGTCATTTGCCGGGCAGGCATCACTGGTTGAGCAGAGGTAGGGCGGAGGCGATTGCCGAAGAGGTAAGAGGATGGCCCGACTCGATCAGGTATGCGGGCGAGTTCGAGGTGCCGGCACAGGTCGACAGACCGATTGCGGAGGTGCCGCTATACACAGATGGGCTGCTATGCAGGCTGTGGCCGGATAGGTGCCGGTATATTTGACGGGATAAAGTGGCGATAGAGAGGCATTAGTAGAAGGAGCATTGGTGGTCAGCTAGCGGCCGAACGGGCGGGTTAGGCAAGAGTAAAGATGAACGGGTCGAGAGGCGGTCGTAACAAGGGGCGAGGGGCGTGCATTATCTGTAGTCTTTACAAGCCGGCACGGATCATGGTACTTGGAGGTCCGGCAGCCGGCATAAGAGGAAGAATTAGGCGGAAATCGCCGTGGCGAAGACAATAGTGGCGACGCGGTAGCGTGGGCATGGGCATGGTAATAGGCGTTAGATTTTTTTTTTTTCCGTTAGGACGCAGCGCGAGCACGATTAGAACAGCCCGAAGTACAAGTTTACCCACGGTTAGTTCGGGGATTTCATCAGATTAATAGACGAGGTAGAGAGGGAGGTAAACGGGGAGGAAAAGTAACGAAGGGAGCGAGAGTTAAGAAGACGATTAAGGTAGTAGAGACGGCGAAAGAGGGGGAGAAGACGATACCGAAAAACCGTAAAAGCTGACCCAGATTTAGTAGGCGTGCTTGGACTTTGTATCGAGCTATTGGATTAGCGATTTGTCGAGCGCGAGTGTAAGAGTGCGCTGGTGTGTGTCGTAGCCGTGATAGGCGTCGACCCGATAGGCGAAAGCTGGCGAGGCCGGAGACATACTACGCGACTTTTAGTGGCATTAATTAAGGCGGCGTGTTTTGTAATAGTGTAGAAGGCGTCTAAGGTAGCAACGCCGGTAGACGAGAACGGGGATTTTAGCGCGAGTGCTCGGCCGTGCGATCTCGACGACAGTGGGTTAGTAGGAGTAGCAGTAGGAGTGATAGTACCGACGGCCGTAGTAGTCGCATCAGGCGCACCGGTAGAAGTAGCTTGTCGTGGGTTAATAAGATGATAGACGATTTTATGGTCCGCGGCAGCGACAGCCCGATGCAGTGGTTTTGGGACCTAAGATATATGCTCCAATCCACCGCGCTCTTCTAAATCCACTGCGCAGGGGTCTTTCCACTTTAGTATAAGTCCTCCCGCGGCCTTACCGCCTCTTCGCCTCGCCACACTTCTGCCGTCCATCACTCCTTCTACCCACCCGCCGCCTCACCGCCTCTTCTACCTTAACTAAAAATCTCTGCGGCGTATGCTTCCGTTCTTGCTAACATTTAGCGAATGCGCTCCAAATGTAGAATAGACAGTGTGGGAGAATAATCTATAGTTAAATCTTATAATAACGCGCTAGAAACGCGCAAAATTTTGCAACAGTGCGTTTAACGAGCCAGCTCTTTTCTACTTCCCTACCTACTACGTCCTCTATCGCTAAAATCGGGCCATGAACCAGTCAAATAACTACTTTGAGTACCTTTCCGAGTACCGTTTACTCATTTGTAAACACTGCAAGCACGCTGTATGTCTAGACCAGATCAGGGCCCACCTGCGAGGCAAGCGCCACGAATTACCTCCGAAAGAGACGGCTGCTGCCCTAGCGGAAGTACAACGTCAATGGAAAGATGCGGCTAAGGACGTTACCGAGGTCTACATCCCAACCCGGGTTCTCCAGCCGATTGCGCACTTGCCACTGTACAAAGATGGATTGCTGTGCCAGCTGGATTATCCGAAATGTCATTACGTTTGTCGGGACATAAAGACTCTGAAGGACCATTGGAAAACGGTACACCATTGGACCCTAGGCACCCAAGGCGGATCGGGCAAGCAAAAAACGGAACGCATTGAGAGCCGTCTACAAAGTGCAAGGAAGAAAATCTATTGCCAGAGATTTTTCTCTGCTTTTCAAGGCTCGCGGTACTTCCAGGTAGATGGTAGCGGTGAAGAAGAAGAGGAAGAAGAGGAAGACATGGATACCGGTGCGTTAAGCGCCAGTCAGGAAGGCGACCTTATCCGAATGCTCGTTGAGAAAGACTTGCAGGAGCGCGACCGCAGGCTCTCCGAAGCACGCCATATCTGTCATAACGAAGCTACCAAGACGGAGGTCTCACCCTAACCAAAAGACCCAAATGCGCCGCGATCACGGCGTGATTTGATTTGTATGGGGGCTCGCCGGGTCAAATATCGGCGGCCTACCACGGCGTGATTTACCACGGCGTGATTTAGAAAAAGATGGCGGATCGGCACCAGACTTCGCTGAGTTGCAGAGCTCGAGCTCGCGATAAATATTAGTATAAAGCATCCCAAGGTCAGATCTCTGCCTTGCCAGATATCCGGCACTTAGGGTAACTTGGGGTAAGGTTTGATGGGGTGGTGGTGATCCGTGCGGAGTTGTTTGGTCTGTGCGTGATTCGAGAAAGGGAGACCAGCCAGCTTAATTGCACCCACGCCATCATCTCCCATAACTGAACTAAACCAATGGCAGCCACTCACTTCCACCACCAGGTCGAACACAGGCTCGCGATCTGCAAGGAGTGCAGGTACGCGGTCTGGCCGGACCAGGTAGAAGGTCACTTGCAAGGGAAGCACCACCGGATGGGCCGGAAGCAGGCGGAACTGGTTAGCAACGAGGTCGGAGGCTGGCATGGGTTAGCCACGTCTCCCAGCGAGCTGCATGTGCCAGCCCAGGCGCAGCAACCCATCGCGGAGCTGCCATTGTTCGGGGATGGGCTGCTATGCCAGAGGGAGCCCAGCAGCTGCAAGTACATCTGTAGAAGCAAGAGGATCATGAAAGATCACTGGCGCAAAGAGCATGGGTGGTCGCTTGGAGGTGGCAAAGGTAGGCTGACCAGGAGGGTTGAAGAGAGGCTAGAGGAGAGGTTTTGGGAGGCAGCGAAGCAGGTCCACTGCCAGCGCTTCTTCCCCGGTTTCCATGGCTCGCAATACTTCGAGGTGTGCCAGCCGGAGCAGGCGCAGGAGGAGCAGGCGCACCCCGCCCAGGGAGGAGAGCAGCTGTGGCAGCGGGCGTGGGACAGGGCGAACAAGAACTGGGAGGAGCTGGAGAAGCGTGCCCGGGCGACGATCGAGGACGGGGAGAAGGATGAGGTCAGCCCGTGGCTAGACAGGACGCAGTGGCTGCCGTATCTGGCACGGCTGGACCGCGACGATCTGCTAGCGTCAATCGAGGAGCCCAACACCAACCCGGACAGGCCGGAGGAGCCGGTGGCGGCCGCCATCTGGAAGGCCATGGACGACGTCGCACGCATCAGCCAGCAGGCCGCAACCCAGCGCGTCGGCATATTCGTCCGCATGGAGCTGATGAAGACGGAGAAGCACCAGAACCAGTACCACCCGCTACAGCTGTACACGGAAGAGGATTCGATCATCAAGCGGTCAAGAGCGTGGAAGCAGGTGCTGATGTTTTTCGTCAGAACGCAGCTGGAGCACGACTGGCGGAGCCCGGAGTACAAATTCACCCGCCGGCAGTTCAGGGCTTTCGTCAGGCTGATGGAGGAGGCCGAGCTGGTGGTAAATGGGAGGGATGAGCAGGAATCAGAGGAATCAGAGGAAGAGCAGGAGGGAGATTTACAAGAGCCACAGCAAAAGCTGACCCGGATCCAGAAGGCTTGCTTGGACTTTTGCATCGAGCTGCTGAATCAGAGAATCACCCAGCGCGAGTATGACAGTGCTCTGGTTTGCGCTCTGGCAGTCCAGGGAGTCACCCCCACTGGCTGGAGGGAGCCGGGTCTATACACTGCCATTCTGTCAGCCATCATCAAGGTGGGCCGTTTCATGGTAGTTCAGAAAGCGCTGGAGATGGGGGCTCCAGAAGAGGATGGGGAGTTTAGCAGTGGTGGCAGCGCGTGGGACTTTGAAGACAGCGCTTATGGGAGCGATGCAGGCAGCAGCCGAAGCAGAAGCGGTAGTAGGAGCAGCAGCAGCAGCCGAAGCAGTAGCAGGAATAGCAGGGACATGCACAACAGAGGTAACAAGCGCAGCCAGATGAGCTGCTTGGAGCTGGTCAAGCAGATGGCTGACAGCTTCATGGTCCGGGGCAGCCACAGCCCGATGCAGTGGATACTAGATCTGCGCACTTACGGGATGAAGATCCACTACAACACAACAACAAAGGGCCATGTTGGATGGAACGGGCGGGAGCAGCTGCTGTACCAAGGAATCCAGTTCACCATGGCCAAGTTCCGCGGTATGGTACATGGCTTGCTGCACGACACTCGCCAGCTGCTGATCAGCGACTTGCTGATGGGTGGTGGAAGCGGCGGCGGTAGTAGCAGCAGCAGCCAGAGACGGAAGACAGGCGTGCTAGTAGTGCCGTGGGACTCGATTAGAGACAACCCGGCTGAGGAGCGTAGGGGATAGAGCTTTCTGCAGGACTAGCGCACCTAACTGCTAGTGGATGGGAGAACTTGGCTATTTAGTAGGATCATAGAAGATGCTAAAACGAGGGCCCATTTCACGCGAGAGGATTTAGAGTCCGGTATTAGTAGGCAGGCAGTAGACGTATACGTAGCGTAGGTAGCCGAGTTTAGGGAGAAGCTGCTGCTGCTAATACATATTACTGGTGGGCAGTCAGCGAGAGGCCCGGAGATTCTAAGCATCCGGCACAGCAATATAGCTAAGGATGGACACCGTAACATCTTCGTCGAGGATGGGCTGGTCGTTTTCGTGACGCGCTACCACAAGGGCTACGCCATGTCCGGGGATGTAAAGGTCATCCATAGATATCTGCCCAGGGAGGTCGGGGAGCTGGTGGTATGGTATCTGTGGCTAGTCTTGCCGTTCTACCAGCGCATACTGGTAGTAGTACGAGGAAACGAGCAGATCTCGGCTTATATATGGCCACTAGAGGCCGGGGAAAAGCGGTGGACGACGGAGCGTATGAGGGAGGTGATGAAGCGGGAGAGTAGGATCGGCTTAGGCTAAGAGCTGACCGTTAGGGCGTACCGAGACGTTGCTATCGGCATTAGTAGGCGGTTTATGCGCGGCTCTAGCGCGTTTCGGGCCGATAAGGGCGAGAAGGACGAGCAGTAGTAGCAGATGGAGGAGGAGTAGGTAGTAGCAGCCATAGCGGACGCGCAGGCCGGGTACACGTCCCACACTGCCGGCTTGATCTACGCGCGGGGGCTGATGGAGTAGGTGGGCGTGGTAGCGAAAAAGAGGCTGCTGTTCCGCGCTTCCAGCACCGACTAGCACCGCTTTTTAGGCTTCTAGTCGGCTTTTAAGCGTAAGGAGCCGGCGCTAAGAAAGAGAAAACGCTGCCCGTTCGAGGATGATGCGGATAAGAAGCGGCTGGACCGGTGGGCACGGCTGAAAAAGGCTAACGCGAAGGAGCAGCTGAAGAAGCTAATAGGCAAGGAGGCCGTTTTCCGCAGCGTGCAAGAGGAGGTAGTAACCGCCATCCAGGCTGGGATAAGTCCGGTAGTGGCGGTGATGCCGACCGGGGCTGGAAAGAGCGTCTTGTTTATGCTGCCAGCTTAGGCGGAGCCCGGGGGGACGACGGTAGTGGTGGTGCCGCTCGTGGCGCTGCGGGGAGACATTAAGCAGCGGTGCAGCAAGGCGGGTATCGGGTGCGCCGAATGGGACGCGCGGCAGCAGCCCGACGCGGAGGCAATCGTGCTGGTCACGCCAGAGGCTGCGCTGAGTAAGGAGTTTACGACGTTTTTAAACCGGCTAAAAACGATACGGCAGCTGGATAGGATTGTGATCGACGAGTGTCACGTGGTGCTTAACGACCAGGTAGACTTTCGGAAGCAGCTGTAGCAGCTAGGCAGGCTAATGATTGCAGAAACGCAGATCGTTATGCTTACGGCAACGCTGCCACCGAGTAAGGAAGCCAGGCTGTGGGATAGGATGGGCTGGAGGGCGGAGAAGGTAGTGCTATTTAGGGCGTCGATAGTGCGGAAGAACGTGGGCTATCGGGTGGCTAGACTGTAGGAAAGAGGTGGGAGGAAGGGGCAGGACGAAATGATAGTAGAGCTGGTAGAAGAAGCGCTGCGGGTAACGGTGGATGGGAAGGTGGTTATCTACTGCAACACGATTACTAAGGCTAAGAGGTTGGTAGAGGCAGGGCTGTTCGCGTGCGAGGGGTACTACAGCAAAGTATCGTCGGGTAGGAAGAGGGAGATATTAGAGGATTTTAGGGCGGGAGTGGTGCGGGTAGTGGTGGCGACAAGCGCACTAGGGATGGGGATTAACATTTTAGACATTAGGCTCGTCATCCACGCAGACGAGCTACGGGACTTTCTAGACTATGCGCAGAAGAGCGGACGGGTAGGCAGTTAGGACTGGCTAGTAGGGTAGTAATTGTGGCCGGGGGAAGCAGGAGTGAGGACGACCTGATAAGGCAGTACGTGGATGGTGGAGGCTGTAGGAGGATCGCGCTGAATGCGTTCTTAGACGGGCGGCCCGGGCGAACGGAGTGCTAGGAGGGGGAAGAGAGGTGCGATAATTATAGAGGGGTTCAGGAAGGGGCGGAAGTCGTCGAGGACGAGCGGGTAGACTTTCAGCCGGCAGCGGAGGAGGTTGTTTTATGAGTGAGACGAGAGGAGGATAGGGATGAAGGGGAAGCGGTAGAGGTAGGAGCAGCAGGAGCAACTAGGGATAGTAGGACGAAAGGAGTAGCATCGGCGGTAGAGCAAACGCGGCAGAATCGATGGGTAGGCTGGGAGGTGGACGAGGAGGACAGGTGGGAGTTTCGGTAGTAGTAGCAGCAATAGGCAGAAGTAAGAGCAAGGTAGGTTCGCTGGAGACAACGGGTATATGCGGATACGGAGGGGCTTTAGCGGCAGCTTCGAAAGTGGAAGGGGAGATGTTTGGTATGTAAGGCAGCAGGGCGGGACGAGTAGTACGGGTTAGAGGAATGCCGGACGGAGCAGGGGGCGTAGGCGGAGTAGGAGAGGCGAGAGATGCAGCAGCAGGTTAGGTTCGAGAGGTACTCGGGCTGCTTCGATTGTGGGGTACCCCAGGAGATTTATAATCAGTAGGAGAGTAATGGGAGGCGGGGATGGCGTCGTCGGGTTGGAGAAAAGTGTTAGTTTTCGGGGGTGGTCTGGAGTGCTTTATGCGGGATTAAGAAGGGATATTCGACGGTTTGGGAGCGGTAGAAGCTGGAGCTAGAGGTAGAGGTAGCGGGCAAGAAGGTAGAGAATGAGAAGAAGATTGTAGGGTATCTTGGGAAAAGGTGGGCGGAGGATAAGTTGGAGAGTAATAGATTGATTTGGGCGTTTAGCTGGCTTATTTATAGGGTTAGGGTTAGGGTTAGGGTTAGGGTTAGGGTTAGGGTTAGGGTTAGGGTT